TATATTCTATATGTGTTCCTTCAAAGTTTTGATGCCTTCATTGAGAACCTAAGTTCTCTAACCTAAGTAGTCATGAAAATAAAGAAAAAACAATTAAATGAGAAGGTGTGTCCAAACCTTTGAAGGTAGTGTATGTTGTTGTTCATCTAATGTTTTATTGAAATCATTTTAGAGCCACATGAAGGTCTAGATGTCATGAAGTATCATGACAGCCCTTTTCCCAATACTTAAAACCTAAGAATTGAAGGAGATTGTACTTTCGTTTTCACCTGACTGTCTATCACTATGTCATAAAAGAACTGGTTATTAGCAGTAGCAATGAAAGTCACTGTTAATGTTTTGAGGGATGTGAGCAGATATTCCCACAGGACCTGAATGCAGCAGTCTTTCAGACAGCTTTAGGTTAAGACTTAGACATTTCTTAAACAAAAATAGTGTGTATTTGTTAGTGGATAGAGGAAGATGAGGTTGTGTCCGACTGGTGGACAGTCAGGCTGGAGCACTGCTGGGCAGAGCTTAGACCTGACCCTGCAGGGTTTCCACTGAGGGTCAAGGGACCAGAAGGTCGGGGGTTAAGGCGGGGTGGCATTGGGGAGGGACGGATGAGAGGCGGGGGCTGCTGCAGCGTGGATCGGGGCTGCAAGAAGCGGGCTTGCTGTTGGAGTGGTGGGGGCTGACGGTGCAGAGAAGGTGTGGCAGGGAGGGAGGGGCGCAGAAGGGGAGGGGGTTGGTGGAGGGAAGAGGAGGAGGTACTAGATATCATTGGAGTCTGAGCTGAAGATGATGAAGAGGCAGCAGGGGATGCACCTAATGAAGTGACTTGACCCTGCATAGAACAAAAATGAGTTACTTACACAAGTCAAGCAGATAATCCTGCTCTGGAAGTTAGTTCCAAGATAATTTACAAAACATTAGAGAATGAAAAACCACTAACTTCTAGGAATGGTTAACCCTGGAGAACCCATGGGGTCAGAGCCGACCCCATTGGTTTTCTAGGGAAACCATGGGGTCAAATTTGACCCCATGGGTTCTCCAGGGTTAAATTCAAGATAACTGGACTTCAAACTGGATAACTGTGTCTTCAAACATCTACTAACACCACCCAGTATGATTTCAATAATAATCAACACTAAATTCACGAAGCCTCACCTCATCATCCTCTTCATCTGTGCTCTTTCCTGATGGAGTGTTTGAGCTGTTCTTTCCCTCCTCTCCCAAAGTTGCACTGTCTCCATTGGGAGCTTTGGTTCCCTGCTCCGCTTCCCACTCCTGCAGGACCTCTTCCAGGTTGAATCGCCGCCTGTAGTTCACAAAAAAGTTCTTCACCTGCCCTACCGTTTTATTACCGATTACGTCTGCGATGGCTTGGAAGTCTTTTCCATACTTCCTGACACCTGTACAACAACACAGATGGATTTTTAAAGTTACACAAATATATGCAAAGGAAAAATCATTAATGGATGAGAGCACCATTTAACAGTCATTACAGTTTAGAGGTATGTTTTTGTACATAAAGTAAAAATGTAGTCACTTTTAGCTCTGGTGTTCACCTCTGGCTCCTTTTTTTAAATGCTCCTCTATTTTCACCAGTTAGGCTCTAACTGTGATAATCTGTTATCACCCCAACAGAGCACTTCATTGTTTCACAGCAGGCTTACTGGTGGTTCCTAGGGTATTTAAAAAGTAGAATGGGAGACAGAGCGGTCAGCTTTCAGCCCATCTTCTGTGGAACCAGCACCTAGTTTGTATTCAGGAGACAGACACCCTTGCTACTTTACAATTAGGCTTCATTTTTCTTTTTGACAAAACTCCCTCCCCTCAACCCCAACCTGCCATGGCAGATGGCTACCCCTCCCTGAGCCCGGCTCTGCTGGAGGTGTGTTCCTTGTTAAAAGAGA